GGTGACAGAGAGAGGATACAGAAAGAAGCAAGCACCGCCATCGGGTTTGCCTGTACAGCTGCCGCCACCGCCTGGAAGTCCTCGCCAGCCTCCGGCGCCAGTGACGAGACTGTCGGCTCCACCATGCCGACCATCGAGCACGACGCCTCCCCGTCGCCTCGGCCCTTGCCGCCGGAGGTGTCGACGTCCTTCGTCGACGACGTCTTCTTCGACGTCTGCTTCTCCTTGCACGGTTTCTCATCTCGACGTGGGCGACAGCTGGCCGACTGTCCGCAGCCTCCCTTGCTGTCGTCCTCGTCGCTGTCATCGCGGTCGGGGCACTCGAAGGAGAGATGGTATGGGTTGCCGCAGATCTAGCTTTTCCGTCGTTGACCACCACCTCCACGGCCCTTGTCCCGCGTCGACTTCTTCTCGTCGACGTCCTTCGTCGACCGCCCACCTCCGCTACCACCTCCGCCCGGCTTCCCGCGCTGCCCTTGCTGCTGACGACTCTGCTTCGTCGGTGCAGCGTAACTCGCATGCGGACGGAGCTCTGTGGGCTGTTCCACCTCCTTCAGTGCCTCATCCTGGATGACGTAGCTGGTGAGGGAGTCCTCGTCGAGGGACTTACGCGTGCTAGGCACCATCATCATCCTCTTCATGAGGTTGTAGCTGCGCGGCAGGCCCTTGACGACGTGGGTGATGTAGGACGCCGTCGAGTATTCAACGCCCGCCATCTGCATCTCAGCCAGGATCCGTCGAGCACGGTTGCAGTAGTCTGTTGCCGACTCCTGCTTGCCCATCCGAAGGTGTGTCACCTGCTCCTCCAGTTGACCGATGTACAGGTCGCCCGTCGCCTGATATGCCGACTGGATGAAGCGCCATGCCTAGTGACCAACATCCTGTCACTCTCAATATGACTTGAGTGCGATCTGCATCACCGGCGAGCAGCACTTTGAGATGACCATGAAGGTGAGCAGGTGAGCAGCACGAAACTCCCCGCGCAGCTCGACATCGTCCTCGAACGGAATTGGCACGGTGCCGTCGGCAAAACCTTCAGCCCGGCGACCTTCAGCTGAGGTTCCATCGCCTCCCTCCAGGTGATAAGGTCCCATCGACCTTGCAGCGGTCTAGCGGTGATTTTGTCCAGCGTAAACTTGAAGTGACCATACGACGGTGCGATCCCGTCCGCCGCCACATGCGTCGTCACCGAGAGCCCTCCACCACTTCGTAGAGGAGAGCGACGCCGTCCGTCGACGTTGGCACGCGAGTTGCCCGCAGCCACCATCGACCGCTGCACTCGCGCCTGACTCCTGTCGACGCCACCGTCGACCTTGATCACCCCTCTCTGCTTCGTGCCTTCGCTGCCGCTGACTCGTGCACCGCCGTCGACCTCCTCGTCGACGCCACCTTCGTTTCGCACCGGTCGAGGAGATGAAGGAAGAAAAGGGTGCTCCGTCGCCCATTGCGCCCAGATACCCAAGAGGATCGTCCGGTACTCGCCATCCGCGTGGCGTTACTCCGTATCAGCCAAACGTTCCATGGCGACTAGAACGGCTGTCTGCTTACGAATGACTTAGTAGGTGCAGAAGTCGGCTCCTATTTGAAGGTAATCTGCGAGGCCGTCCATGCTGACCGCACCATACGGAAAGTTACTCTAGAAACGTCGTGAACTAGACTATGGGATGTTGGCACGAACTCTAGGAGTAATTGTAGCTTTGCTTAGTTCCTTAGCGCTTGCACATTCACGGGAGAAATCGGCAAGAGTTTCCACTAGCAGAGTTTCCATTACAGAATGATTGAACATAGAATGACAAGAATGACTACATCAGGCACCTAGCAACTTTGCAGCTAGCCTGGTCGACCGCCAGCACAGCATGGTCGACCACCTACCAGCGTTGCGTAGAGGAGCTGCGCTCGCACTACAAAAAGGCGGCCTGCCGACATAGCAGGTCGACGACTTGCCAATGCTGCAGCAGAGTGGCTGTCCAGCATTGCACCCGCAGAAGACAGCAGTGCGCACGTATGCAGGTGCGCGCAGACGATTGGCCCGACTTGCACCGTTGTGCATCCGTCGGCTGTTGTCTGCGCCTGACGAGCCACATCGACTTTGGGATACCAGCCCGAAGTCACCTTCTCCATTGCGACCTCGGCGACGTTCGCGTGCCTCCGCAGAACTCGCCGAGCTTGTTACAGAATAAGATCTTGTTATTCATTGCTGATTCGACCAAGAAGATTGGTTTCTGACAAAAACATGTGATCTATAAGGATGACGAAGTACATGACAATGGAACATATAGAAAATCATATTCGAAATCCAAAAGAGGAAATGAAATATGGATTTCCAATCTCCAAACGAATTGGAATAGCGGGTGGGGGGGAGGGGGGGGGGCTTATAAGTGTTATTTTTGTCCTTTGAGAAATAGCGGGGTTAAAAATGCTAATCATAACAAAAATGGTTTCCACATTGTTAGGCATTCTTTCACATCACAAGCAACCATGATCAGCTGAATCCACTGAATCTATCAATAACCACTAGCGGTTTCATAAATCTAAATAAGAGTATATAATTGCCGAGCCACACAAGCATGGTTTGTCCAAATCATCCTCCCTTCTCTCCACATCCTTGCCTGCACTGATGCACTTACTTCAAGCGAGTAAAACACACAGCTTGGCACAACACAGTGCATGGCAGAGCACAGAGCATGGCACAGCACAGAGCATGGCACAGTACAGAGCATGACACAGTACAGAGCATGGCACAGCACAGACCATGGCATAGCACAAAGCATGGCACAGCATGCAGCATGGCTCATCATGTGCCACCAAACATGAGCATCTTGCTCTTATGCAACAGGTCGCATCAGCGCCATAGGGCTCATCATGTGCCACCAAACATGAGCGTCTTACTTTCATGCAACAGATGGCATCAGCGCCATATGGCTCATCATGTGCCACCAAACATGAGCATTTTGCTCGCATGGAACAGGTGGCATCAGCGCTATAGGGCTCATCATGTGCCACCAAACATGAGCATCTTGCTCGCATGGAACACGTGGCATCAGCGCTATAGGGCTCATCATGTGCCACCAAACATGAGCATCTTGCTCTCATGCAATGGGTGGCATCAGTGCCATAGGGCTCATCATGTGCCACCAAACATGTGCATCTTAGTCTCATGCAACAGGTGGCATCAGCGCCATAGGGCACATCATGTGCCTCCAAACATGTGCATCTTAGTCTCACGCAACAGGTGGCATCAGCGCCATAGGGCTCATCATGTGCCTCCAAACATGAGCATCTTGCTCTCATGCAACAGGTGGCATCAGCGCCATAGGGCTCATCATGTGCCACCAATCATGAGCATCTTGCACTCATGTAACAGGTGGCATCAGCGCCAAGGGTTAATAATTATTTGGTGCAAATTCATATTGCACGACATCCTGCCGTCTGTTTGTACGAGTATGTATGTGCGAATGCATTTGGGTGTGAATGAAATGTTCGTGTGTTTGTTTGCTTTCGCAATTTTCGTTTGATGCATTTGCAGGTACTCGCGCAATGTGCGTTTCGGCACAACATTGTACGCGCTATAAACAGTGCAAGCAGAAAGGACGAGCTCGCAAAGGAACCCAAGATGGAAGCTTTGCGGTTCGGTTAAATTGATTGCGTAGATTCAGTTCTATCCAACTCGAAATTGTACTGTTTTGTTCGGTTGACTATAGTGTAGCAGGGCAGGCATTTTAGGGGTACAATTTAGGTGAAGGTTGGATGTTGCTTGTCTGTATCTGCATGCTACAAGGCCAGGGGAAACCAGCGGAACCGGCATTTGGCTGGTTGGGCAAAAACAAAACAGGTTCTGTTTTTAGAACCTGAACCTGGTTGTTGTTTTCCCATGTTGGAAAAACAGAACTAGAGGTTGTTTACCAACCTACCACCTGCTATTTTGTCCAGCCAGGTTGGTTCTGTTGCTTGGAATTATATGGGATCATCCCTGGTTGTTCCCAGGTTGATTCCCAAGGTCCTTGCTAGCTAGAACTATATATTCGTTCTCTGTTTGTACTTGAATATAGTCAATTGATTCAAGCGAATTCCTTCCTCGCTGGAGTTTCGTTTCTGCGCTATTCGACGGTGGAATGCTACCCGAGTCAATGCTAGTATGCTAGCACTCCCACGCTAGGCAAACGCTGTCCGAGCCATAACTTCGTAATGGCATAACTTTTTTGGGGCAACTTGGCTTATTTTAAAGCTCTTGGAGCGAGCTTCGTTATAGCGAATTCTCAGCTTAATCCGATCGACGATCTGCACGGCACGCTGCGCGACGTTCAAGGTACTCTCGTTATTTTGGCTAAGTCATTCTTAACTCCTCTCTCTACAAACTCGGACCCGAGGATAGGGGCTGGTCTTGTACCAGGCACCCTGGGACCCTTGGAGGTGACCCCGAGGAGAGGTTTTAAGTTTGATTAAGTCTTAATAGCCTGAGTTTATTAGGCCCTTACACCAACAATCATGTGCCACCAAACATGAGCATCTTGCGCATGTGCATCCCGTGGGCATCTCACTGGACCGAGAGAGGATACTGAGGGAGGCAAACCGAGAGAGGCGAGAGAGGAGAGGTGACAGAGGGCGACAGAGGGAGGATACGAGGCAAACAGAGAGGCGACATGCGAGAGGATACAGCGGGAAAGAAACAAAGAGACAAGACAGAGAGAGGACACAGAGTAAGGAAAAGAGAGAGAAGAGACAGAAGGAAGATACAAAGGTAATGAGGGAAGGTATACAGGGAAGGCAAAGGGGGAACGCAGAAAAGGAAGGTAGAGAGGGAAGATACTGAGGGAAGATAGTGTGGGAAGGTAGAGAGGGAAGGTAGAGAGGGAAGGTAAAGAGGGAAGGTAGAGAAAGAAGGTAGAGATAGAAGGTAGAGAGGGAAGGTAGAGAGGGAAGGTAGAGAGAGGGAATGTAGAGAGGGAAAGCAAAGCGGGACAGTAGAGAGGGAAGGTAGAAAGAGAAGGTAGAGAGAGAAGTTAGAGAGGGAAGGTAGAGAGGGAAGGTAGAGAGGGAATGTAGAGAGGGAAGGTAGAGTGAGAAGATAGATAGGAAAGGAAGAGAGGGAATGTATAGAAGGAAGGTAAAGAGAGAAGGTCAAGAGCGAATGTAGAGGGGGGAAGGTTGAGAGAGGGAAGGTAGAAAGGGAAGGTGGAGAGAGAAGGTAGTAAGAGAAGGTGGCAGAGGAAGGTAGGAGGGAAGGTAGAGAGAAAAGATAGAGAGGGAAGGTTGACAGAGGGCATGTAGGAGGGAAATGTAGAGAGGGAATATAGAGAGGTAAGGTAGAGAGGGAAGGTAGAGGAAGAAGGTAGAGAGGGAAGGTGGAGAGGGAAGGTAGAGAGGGAAGGTTGAGAGGGAAGGTGGAGAGGGAAGGTAGAGAGGGAAGGTTGAGAGGGAAGGTAGGGGGGAAAGATAGAGAGGGAATGTAGAAGGGGAAAGTAGAGAGGGAAGGTAGAGGGGGAAGGTAGAGAGGGAAGGTAGGGAGGGAAGGTAGAGAGGGAAGGCAGAGAGAGAAGGTTGAGAGAGGTAAGGTAGAGAGGGAAGGTTGAAAGAGGGAATGTAGAGAGGGAAGGTAAAGGGGGAAGATAGAGAGGGAAGGTAGAGAGAGAAGGTAGAGAGGGAGGGTAGAGAGGGAAGGTATAGAGAGAAGATAGAGAGGGAATGTAAAGATGGAAAGTTGAGAGAGGGAAGTTAGAGAGGGAAGGTACAGGGTGACGGTAGAGAGGGAAGGTACAGAGGGAAGGTAGAGCGAAAAGGTAGTAAGGGAAGGTAGTGGGGGAAGGTAGAGTGGGAAGGAAGAGAGGGAAGGTAGAGAGGAAAGGTAAAGAGGGAAGGTTGAGAGAGGGCAGGTAGGAGGGAAAGGTAGAGAGGGAATATAGAGGGAAGGCAGAGAAGGAAGGTAAAGGGGGAAGGTAGAGAGGGAAGGTAAGGAGGGAAAGTAGAGAGGGAAGGTAGAGAGGGAAGGTAGCGAGAGAAGGTAGAGAGGGAAGGTAGAGAGGGAAGGTTGAGAGAGGGAAGGTAGAGAGGGATGGTAGAGAGAGAAGGTTGAGAGAGGGAAGGTAGAGAGGGAAGGTAGGGAGGGAAGGTAGAAAGGGAAGGTAGAGAGGGAGGTTAGTGAAGGAATGTAGGGAGGGAAGGTAGAGAGGGAAGGTAGAGAGGGAAGGTTGAGAGAGGCAAGGTAGAAATGGAAGGTAGAGAGGGAAAATAGAGAGGGAATGTAAAAAGGGAAGGTACAGAGGGAAGGTAGAGAGGGAAGCGAACATGTAGAGGTGATAGAGGGAAGATACAGAGGGAAGCAAGCACCCCAACTTCACCTACCAGAAGTAGCAGCAGCAGACAGCCCACCCCCTTTCGGAAACACCATCCGCAGAAGTTGTGCGGGCGAGGTGTGGCAATGAAATATCGCTTCCATCCCAAGACTCAAATCCCGCCCCTGACGTAGCTAGAGCCGACACGAACCAGAGCTGCCAGCCGGTCGGCTCTGACGGTGTCCATTAAGCCTTTTAACGCCAGATTGGGAAGCTGAGTACCGAATGTCGTGCCGCCCACCACACCTCACCCCACAAGGCACATCTCCTGAGAATGTTGCCCCTCAGGAAGTGAACTCCTTCCTTGCTCCCATGCCCCTCACCCACCCACCCCACACTTCACCCCTATGCCTCCTTACCTGTACCTACCAGAGCCATGCAGAGCGCCATGATGCTGAGGCTGCTGGAAAGTGGGGAAGGGGGATTAGGGGAGGGTGGGACTCCACTGTGATCCAGGTAGGGTGCTGCTGGGAGGGAAGGGAGAAAGGAGAGAGGAAGAGGTGTGTGAGAGGGTGGACTTCACTCTCCCGCCCTTGCTCTTGTGTTCCCACCCTCAGGCTGCAAGGGAGAGGGGGAAGAGAGAAAGAAAGGAGGGGATCAGAATACTACACCTCACCTCTTACCATACCTCATCGGGTACCATACCACACCTATTACCACACTTCCCACGGCTACACCTACCCTAGCCTGCCCTCTAGCCCCCCCCCCCCCCTCTCTACTGCTGCACTGCTGCTCCCTTCGCCGCTTCTGCTGCTGCAACTGCTGCTGCCGGTCTGCTATTCTTCTTCATATGCTGCAATCTTCTCTCGACGCCAATGGATCTGGTGGCGGGCAGAAAGGGGGGGGGGGGGGGGGGGAGGACAGGAGGCAAAAAGCAGGAGAAGCTAATGAGGTTGCATGAGTGGATAAAAACAAGAATGCAGAAATGAGAAGGGAGCAGGTGCAGCAAGTGAACTTGAAAAAAGGGCAGGTGAGGCCAATGCATGAGCTAATGCACCTTGAGGTGCCAAGCCCAACCCGATACTCTCCCTTGCAGAACAAAGTTTAGTCCGCTTCAGTGCTGCCTCCTTCCCATCGACGTGGGTACCTTCAAGGCCACTAGGGGAGGGGCGTTAGGGAGTGGCGGTGTTGACCTCCACGCCCCGCCCCTCTAGTGAGTGACTGGTGGAGAGGCAAGGGGTTGAAGGAGTAGGGCGGATGAACAAGAAGCGATCGGAAAATAAGGGGAGGGGGCCACTGGTGCAGCCTCAGCTACAAGCCACAGACACAAGGGGGTTATACCCAAGGAGGCTTTACCTGAGAATACACCTGCTGTGCCTGCGGGGGTTTACCCAAAAAAACGTGGCTGTGGCTTAAAGATTTGGCTGATCCAGAGGCTTGTGTTTGAAGAGAGAAGAAAGAGAAGAGCAGCAAGGATCAAAATGGAAAGCAACAAACTCAAGAAAGGGCTGGGAGAGGAAGTGCAGGCAGAGACTTAGCTGAAGGGTTGGGGAGCAGCTGCTGCCTGTGCACTAAATGTCCCCTGCCACTGCCACTCACGTGTGAGCGACCTGGTGAGAGGGAATCGGGGGGTAATTGGGATAGGAGTGAAAACGGGGAGAAGAGTAGGCAGAAGCGTGATGGGGACAAGGAGAAGAAGCATGAGACACCAAACCAGGCTCACCTGGAGAAACGAGGCGAAACGAGGAAACGAGGCAAACGAGGCTCACCTTGTTCTGCCAACCCATCCCGATACTCTCCCATCTCATCCCAGCCGAGTGAAGTGCTGCCCCCTCCCCTCCCATCACTGCAATCTGCACAGCCACAAGGGGAGAGGTATGGGGGAGTTGCGGTGTTGACCCCGCGCCCCTCCCCTCTACCTACAAGGCACACACACAACAGCAGTGAGTGCGCATAGAATGGCAGAAGCACAAGGGAAACACAAAAAGCTGCCAATTCAGGAAGAGAGAAGAGGCCAGTGATGGAAGCACGGCCACAAGTGACAGACCCCAAGGGAACCTGCAATACATGAGGGGGATACCTGCACCTGAAAAAAAAAACAGAAGTAAAGGGGTCTGTGGCATGTGGGCCGGTCCCAAGTAGTGGCACTGATTCAAGGGAATGTGCGAAAGCACAAACAACCAACAAAGTGACACAAAAAGACAAGACGATATAATGTGGTGGGCAAGGGTAAGGGCGTGGGGGCACTTAGCTGGTCATGTAAGGATGAGAAGAAGGCAGCTGAAGCACCACCAGGTGACTCCTCCCAGCAGCCCTCCTCCCAGCCTCTTGTGTACGTTCCTGCACAGCTACAGGGGAGAGGTGTGAGGGAGCGTCGGTGTTGACCCCACACCCCTCCTCTCCACCAGCAAGGCACACGCAGAGCAGCAGTGAGTACGCATGGAATGGCCACAAGCACAAGGTAAACAACAGAAGCTGCCAGTTCAGGAAGATAGGAGGGGCGACTTATTGAAGCACAGTCACAAGCCACAGACCCCAAGGGAACCTGCAGTACCTGAGGGGGATACCTGCACCTGAAAAAATACCTGAAATAAGGGGGTCTGTGGCATATGGGCCGGTCCCAAGCAGTGGCACTGATTCAAGGAACAAACTGACAGAAAAGGACAAGACAATACAATATGGAAGGCAAGGGTGAGGGCGTGGAGGAAGGGGCACTAAGTGTTGGTGTAAGGGCCTAATAAACTCAAGCTATTAGGACTTAATCAAACTTAAAACCTCTCCTCGGGGTCACCTCCAAGGGTCCCTGGGTGCCTGGTACAAGACCAGCCCCTATCCTCGGGTCCGAGTTTGTAGAGAGAGGGATCAAGAAGGACTTAGTCAAAACAGCAAGAGTACCTTGAACGTCGCGCAGCGTGCCGTGCAGACCGTCGGTCGGATTAAGCTGAGAATTCGCTATATCGAAGCTCGCTCCAAGAGCTTTAAAATGAGCCAAGTTGCCTCGCGAAAAGTTCTGCCATTACTAAGTTCTGGCTCGGACAGCGTTTGCCTAGCGTTGGAGTGCTAGCATACTAGCGTTGACTCGGGTAGCATTCCGCCGTCGAATAGCGCAGAAACGAAATTCCAGCGAGGAAGGAATTCGCTTGAATCAATTTGACTATATTCAGGTACAAACAGAGAAGGATTAAATAGTTCTAGCTAGCAAGGACCTTGGGAATCAACCTGGGAACAACCAGGGATGATCCCAAATAATTCCAAGCAACAGAACCAACCTGGCTGGACAAAATAGCAGGTGGTAGGTTGGTAAACAACCTCTGGTTCTGTTTTTCCAACCTGGGAAAACAACAACCAGGTTCAGGTTCTAAAAACAGAACCTGTTTTGTCTTTGCCTAACCAGCCAAATGCTGGTTCCGCTGGTTTCCCCTGGCCTTGTAGCATGCAGATACAGACAAACAACATCCAACCTTCACCTAAATTGTACCCCTATAGTGCCTTCCCTGCTACACTATAGTTAACCAAACAAAACAGTACAATTTCGAGTTGGATAGAACTGAATCTGCGCAATCAACTCAACCGAACTGCAAAGCTTCCATCTTGGGTTCCTTTGCGAGCTCGTCCTTTCTGCTTGCACTGTTCATAGCGCGTACAATGTTGTGCCGAAGCGCACATTGCGCGAGTACCTGCAAATGCATCAAGCGAAAATTGCGAAAGCAAACAAACACACGAACATTCCATTCACACCCAAATGCATTCGCACACGCATACTCGTACAAACAGACGGCAGGATGTCGTGCAATGTAAATTTGCACCCAACACTAAGCTGGTCATGTGAGAGCAAGCAAGGCAGCTGAAGCGCCACCAGGTGACTCCTCCCCAGCAGCCCTCCTCCCAGCCTCCCGTGTGCGTCCCTGTACGGCCATATGGGAGAGGAGTAAGGAGCCTCAGTGTTAACCCCACGCCCCTCCCCTCCACTAGCAAGGCACAAACACAGAGCACTAGTGGGCGTACATGGAATGGTCACAAGCACTAGGGAAACACCAGAAGCTGCCAAATAAGGAAGATAGGAGGGGCTACTGATGGAAGCACGGCCACAAGTCAAAGACCCCGAAGGAACCTGCAGTACCTGAGAGGGATACCTGCACATGAAAATATGCCTAATGTAAGGCGGTCTGTGACATGTGGGCCGGTCCCAAGTAGTGGCACTGATTCAAGGAGATGTGCGAAAGCACAAGCAACCAACAAACTGAAAGAAAAGGACAAGACGATTTGATGTGGAAGGCAAGGGTGAGGGTGTGGAGGAAGGGGCACTTAGCTGGCCATGTGAGAGCGAGCAAAGCAGCTGAAGCACCACCAGGTGACTCCTCCCCTGCAGCCCTCCTCCCAGCTTCCCGTGTGGGTCCCTGCACGACCACAGGGGAGAGGCGTGAGGAGCGTCGGTGTTTACCCTACGCCCCTCCCCTCCACCAGCAAGGTACAAACACAGAGCAGTACTGAGCGTGCATGGAATGGCCATAAGTACTAGGGAAACACCAGAAGCTGCCAGTTCAGGAAGATAGGATGGGCCACTGATTGAAGCACAGTTACAAGTCACAGACCCCAAGGGAACCTGCAGTACCTGAGGGGGATTCCTGCACCTGAAAAGATACCTGAAGTAATGGGGTCTGTGGCATGTGGGCCGGTCCCAAGCAGTGGCACTGATTCAAGGAGAAGTGCGAAAGCACAAATAACCAACAAACTGACAGACACATTCAAGACAATATGATGTGGAAGGCAAGGGTCAGGGCGTGGAGGAAGGGGCACTTAGCTGGTTATGTGAGATCGAGCAGAAGGCAGCTAAAGCACCACCAAGTAACTCCACCCAGCAGCCCTCCTCCCAGCCTCCCGTTTGTCCCTGCACGACCACAGGGGAGAGGCGTGAGGGAGCGTCGGTGTTGACCCCACACCCCTCCCCTCCACGCGCAAGGCACACACAGAGCAGCAGTAAGTACGCATGGAAAGTGTTGGTGTAAGGGCCTAAT